TGCTTTTAACATTTCTGATAGTGGAGACGGTGTCAGTACATGTACTAATGTAACCCAGAACTGAGGATGTGTATTGGTCAAGATCAAGCGAACCTCCATTTTCAGCAGCTTCTCTGAAAACCTGCCAGTCTGTTCGATCAAAACAATCTCTCAGTATGGAGCCACTGTCCTGGATCCAGCATTTAACTTCCTTTTGTACCGGTCTGGAGCGTCTCAGCGGGGGCATGTAAGCAGGAGCCAGGAAGATTGAGATGTGGTCTGACAGTCCTAGGTGGGGGCGGGGTTCGGCTTTGTATGCATCTTTTACGTTCGTGTAAACACGGTCCAGCGTGTGGTCTCCACGTGTCGGAATCGTCACATGTTGATAAAAGCTTGGGAGACAGTCCTTTAGATTCACGTGGTTAAAGTCTCCGGCTACCACGTACAGAGCCTCGGGGTGTTTGCTCTGCAGCGAGCTGATGATATCATGAAGCTCCTGCAGTGATTCATTAGCACTAGCGTCCGGAGGAATGTAAACGACAGAGATGAAAGTCACCGTGAACTCTCGGGGTAGATAATGTGGCCGACATTTCACTGTTATTTGCTCCAAAGCCTTTGAGCATGAGCTATTTACAACAGTACAGTTCGTGGACCAACTTTTACTCACGTAAATGCATACTCCGCCTCCCCGTGATTTCCCCGTTAGCTCGCTGCAGCGGTCCGCTCGAAAAAAAAGTCTGTCATCCAGCTGGAAGACTGTGTCCGGCGTTTCGCTTGTAATCCACGTTTCCGTGAGGCAAAGCACTGCACACTTCTTCATCTCTTCTGAGGCGCCCGCTCTCAGACGAAGTAAATCCATCTTGTTGTCCAACGAGCGGACATTCGACAGAAAGGGAGACGGCATGGGGAGTTTACCGGCTTTAGCGTTAGCTCGTAGCCTCACCATAACCCCCGCCCGGCACTCTCTCCTCTTAAGCCTGGAGCAGCGCTTCCTCTTCTGCCCGCTGGAACGCCTCTGCTGCAGCTTCCAGGTAGATGACTTTAAGATCTGCATTCTGCCGAGCGTAGCTTTGAGTTTGTTGCTGATTTCTGCTATATTTCGTGGCAAATCCGCTCCTATTCTCATCATTTTGGTTCGGCTATAGTTCACACGCATAAATCGCGCGGAGTCAGGCACAGAGTCAATATCAAAACTTCTAAAAACTGGGATGGTACCGGGAGCCTGTGAAGCTGCAACTGCTCTGAGCGCAGCCATCTTGGTTCACTTTATTTAGTTCACTTTATTTAATTTATTAGTAATCTGTGAACTCACGGATGCTCGTTTTCCAAAGGATGAATTAAAGGAGTGGGCTTTATTTGACATTGAAGCATTGAGCTCAGACATCAGTTTTGACTGTGGATCAGCAGACACTGCCACATTGGCAAAGAAGTATGGTGCTATTTTCCACCACCCACAGTCTATGGAGGCCATTAACTGTCAATATGCTGAATTTAAGTGCATAATGAAGCAACAACTTATACAAGGGTAAAAAAATAATAATAATTTTTACATTTTAAATTTGTGTGCATCCTTTATGATTGTCTATTGTAGTCGTTTCCACTGTTATCACTCTTTGTTAAAATTTAGATTTCTCTTGTAAATGAGTCCTCGAGGGTCAGTGGGATTAACCTGTATAAATAAAGGTTGAATGAAAAAAGGGTCAATTAGCACATTCTCAGATATGATGGCTCCAGCATTTAGATGTGAGGAGCTAAAGGAGATTTCACAGATTGTGGATATTTATGCTACATTTCAAGCTTCCAGTGCAGATTGTGAAAGAGAATGTAGTAAAAGAGAATGTAGTTTACTGTAATGAATCATCAAAACAGCATCCAGAAATCCTCTTGAAGTGGCACATTTGGACTAGCTGATGCACATAAAGTCAAAGCAAAAAGCAGATGGAGTCATTAACTTGGACAAAGTGTAAAACCGTTGGAGAAGTGCGAAGGACAGATATGAAAAATAAGGTAAAATTTAAGTCTGATTTCCTGATGCATGCCCAATAATCCAGGTAGAAAAATCTAAAAAAGTTAAATCTGGTCCTCTGGACATTGTTTTGCTTTTTGCTTTTTGACTGTCCAGAGGACCAGATTTAACTTTTTTAGATTAAGTTTGATTTGTGCATATTTTAGCGACATTGATGAAGATTTTTATTTATGGATGTTAATCATTAAATGCCGTTACAATTTGATAATTTATGGGTAGTAGAAATTCTAATAAAAAACTTTAAGATATTTTACAAAGTTACAGGACTTTACACCATATTACAAGCTACAGCACACGTCATTGTGCAAAATATGAATGTTTTAATGTGAACAAAATTTTATGTCTGAAAGGTGCTTATTTCTCATGTCTTCCAGAGCAGGACCCTCACCCAGGCCACAACTGGACCCTCACCCAGACCAAAGCAGGCTCTAACATATAACATACTACACATCTCATGAACAACAATATTGTCTTTTTTATTTGAAGTGGGCCAAATCACTTATATTAAAAATAAATTAATGGAAATTGCTGCTGTAATTTGAATCTTTTTTCCTCTCGCCCTCAAGCAAAACGGATGCTTTTCTTCCCTTTCCTGCCTTCTTCCTGCTTTTTTTTTAAATCTCTGTCCTGTGTATCGGAGCTTCTATTTACACATTTTCCGAATTGTAAATTACTGTTATGGATTTAGTCAGCTGGACTTTCAATGCATAAATTGATTAAAAAAATTCAACCAAGCGACAAAGTGCTGGAGAACCCTCATGCCCTGCTGAGAGACACGCAGCTGGGGATGTCATGGATCCATAGGGAGAGTAAAAAATTATATGCCTTTCTGTGTTTTGCCTCAGGAGGATGTCAAAGATTTATACATCATTGGATTTATTATAGCAGGTTTTCTGCTTTTGGGCACCGTCGGATACCTATGTTATCGGCTATTAAGGAAGACGGTAGCAGCAGTTTCGGCCATGGCAAAGCTGCTGACCTTATGTGAAGGATTAGTTTGTGCTTCGATCTCTCACTCAGTTGATTTACGAGCTGAACTATAAGATGAAAGCGATTTATGAGATTTGCAGGCCAATTGCAGCTTCTGGAACTCACCAGCATGTTGGTGTCAACCTTAGAGGTCAATAAGCATGGACCAGCGGAAACTCCACAAATCTGGACATTTTGGATCAATGAGAGTACCAGCAGAACTCGAGGATGATGGGAATAACAGTCTTCCTGCACAAAAAACAACTGTAACTTATCTCAATCTGGCCTCCCCATTCGGCCTTGAATAGGCCAACTTATCAAATTGCTCTTGGGGATGTGCAAACTAAGAAGGCTCTGCTCTATCCAACCCCCATCCCAAAGAACTTCTGTGAACGTTTATCAGAGCTGTACCGGCTGACACATTAACATCTTATCAGGACTATGGTACTCTCTGTAAGTGCTTAATGGACAAATCTCACCATCTTGGCATCAAATGCATATGTAATGTGTCTTTAAATGTGCTTGCTGGTACATTTTTTTTATGTCTTAAATCATGTCCTGGCAGAGACAAGGTGTGAAAAGATCTTTTTTACAATACCACTAACCTATCCTCATGGTCTTTCACCTTTTCTATCTAAAGAATAAGGGGCTACGCTCGGCCACGTACACTCTGCCCATCTTTCGGATGACTATATGGAATATATATAGCTCGCTTTACTTTGGTGCAATGATAATATGGGGCGGCTGTGGCTGAGTGGTTAGAGCAGTCGTCCTCCAATGCGAGAGTTGGGGGTTCGAATCCACCAGCAGTCTCATGCCGAAGTGTCCCTGGGCAAGACACTTGAACCCCTCATAGCCTCTGATGTGTGTCCCATCAGTGTATAAATGTGATCTAAAGCACTGATTAGTCTCATTAGAACGATTTGCTCAATTAGCTTTGTAGAGATCTAGTAGAGTGCTGTATGAATGGGTAAATGAGGACACAGATTGTAGTGTAAAGTACTTTGAGTATCTTGAAATAAGATAGAAAAGCGCTATATAAGTACAGTCCATTTACCATTATAAAGCTTATTCTGATTCTGATTCTGATAAGCCATGTAACTTGCTATGATCCCACGTTTTTGGACAGGTGTGATACTGGTGTGTGGCCACAGCGTGCCCATCTGATTTTGCTCACAGTGGTCCTTGGTATGATCAAGGAGTTTGTGTGTTTGCCCAGACACATGAACAATTGAGGGAACGTTGTCTACAAGAGTTCTAGTGCACATGAATGGGTTTACAAGTGAGTTCAGGTGTGCAGGAACAGTCTGCAGGTGAGTTAAGGTTTATGTCACATGTCTACAGACAAGTTCAAGTGTGCAGAAACAAGATTAAAGGTGAATTTAGGTTTGAAGGATCCAATCTAGAGGTGTGTTCAGGATTATGAGTCTACAGCTGTTTTCAGGTGTGCAGAAATGACAGTACATATACTGTATGTAGTCACAGCCACAGCCGCCTCGTATATTGTATGGGGCGGCTGTGGCTGATTGGTTAGAGCAGTCATCTTTCAATGCGAAAGTTGGGGGTTTGATTCCACCAGCAGCCACATACTGAAGTGTCCCTGGGCAAGACACTTAACCCCTCATTGCCTCCGATGTGTGTCCCATTGGTGTATGAATTTGATAAAGATCTGATTAGTCTCTTTAGAATGATTTGTTCAATTCTTTGTAGGACCTAGTAGAGTGCTGTATGAATGGGTAAATGAGGCACATATTGTAGTGTAAAGCGCTTTAAGTATCTTGACAAGATAGAAAGGTGCTATATAAGTACAGTCCATATGAGTTCAGGAGTGAAGAAACAAATCTACAAATGTCTTCAGGTTTATGACGTGTCAAGAGGTGAGGTCAGTTGTACATAAATGAGTCTACAGGTGAATTCAGGAATGCAGAAACTAGACTACATATGAGCTTAGTTGTGAAGGAACAAGACAGCAGGTGAGTTCATGTGTGCAGAAAATAGTCTACAGCCGAGTTCAGATGTTACTCACAGTGACTCCTTCTGCCTCACAGTAGATCTGCAGAGGACTAAGGCCTTCTGGGAAATAAAGTTGTTGGAAGTTAATGGCAGGTGAGTGCCACTCCCTCTCCTGTTTCCCAGAAGCAGCAAAAAAAATTATACACACACACACACACACACACACACACACACACACACACACACACACA